TCCCTAATAATGGGGAGTAAGGGAAGAATACTCACTAATAATGAAGGAAAATTGGGGGGAAATGAGGGAATAGTCCCTAATAATGGGGAGTAAGGGAAGAATACTCACTAATAATGAAGGAAAATTGGGGGGAAATGAGGGAATAGTCCCTAATAATGGAGAGTAAGGGAAGAATAGTCACTAATAATGAAGGAGAATTGGGGAATAATGAGGAAACAGTCCCTAATAATTGGGTATAAGAGGGGAACAGCCCCTGATAATGAATGAAAAGGGGAACAATGAGGGAATAAGCACTAATAATGGGGAGTGAGAGGGGAATAGCTCCTCATAACAGGAAATAAGGGGGGAATGGTCCCAAATAAGGGGATAATAGCCCCTAATAATGAAGGAAAGTGGGGAATAATGAGGGAATAGCCCCTAATAAATGGGGAATAACCCCTAATGGGGAATAAGCAGTAGGGTAGCCCCAAGTAATGGGGGAATAGCCCCTAATAATGGGAAAATAATAGGGTATATCCCCTAATAATGGTGGTTAATGGGAAATAATGAGAGAATAGCCCCCAATAATGAGAGATAATGGGAGATATTAGAATAACCTCAAATAACGGAGGAGAAGGGGGGAATAGGCCTTAATGATGGGGAGAAATGGGTAGAAATGGGGGGGAACCCCTAATAATAGGGGAGAATGGGGAATAGCCCCTAATAGTGGGGAATAATGAAAGAATAATCCCTAATAATGGGAGAATAGCAGCTAATTATAGTGAATAATGCGGAATAATGGTTGATAATGGTGGGGCGAGGGAAGGGGAAATAACAGCTAATAACGAAGAATACAGGTTAATAGGGAAATAGCTGCTAATAGTGGGGGAAGGGAACCGGAATAATGAAAATAACTGTTAATAACAGTCAAAAGGGGGGAAATAACAGGATTTAGTTCAGCGCTGGGCTTCCCAGCGAGGGGGGCCCAGGCATCCGGGCGCCCTCGCCCTGGGCCTGGCCCAAGCGAGGAATTCGGCCCAGCAGCTGGGGAGGAAGGCCAGGACGCCTGGGCCCCTGGCAGGGCGGGGGGAGCAGCAGGGACCCCGACCCCACC